GGAAAACATGCGGAGGACCCCGCCCGGCATGCCGCTCTCAGGAGCATCTTTCTGGACCGATCTGGGGGGCCACGCGCGAACCCTACCCCTACCCCCCTCAGAAATCGTGAGGGGCAGGGGTAGGGCTCGCACGTGGCCCCCTACGATCCACGTCCCCCACTGGCGCGGCCTTGGCCCCGCTGGCCGCTGCTCCAATCCAGATGGCGATCCGGGCTGCTCCCCTCGGGCTTCAAGAAGCGGGGCGACCCGCGAGGCCAGGCCTGACGGGGCCCGCGGGATCCCTTCGCGCCGCCTCGCCCGCCCCCTGCTGCAGAGGACGGCCTTCCAGGAGGAGAAGGAGGAGGAGGAGGAGGAGGCGGAGGAGGAGGTCGAGGAGGTCGAGGAGGAGGAGGACGAGGACGAGGAGAACAAGGAGGAGGAGGAGGAGGAGGAGGAGGAGGAGGAGGGCTGCAGGGCCGGGCCGGAGAAGCGGGCGCTGGCCGAGGCCCCCCCCCCGGTCGCAGGGGTCTCGTCGCACTCGCCGCCGCCCGCTCACGTGGGCGGCTCTGGACTCGCACCCGGGGCGGCCCCCTCGCCGTGTCCACCGCCGAGGTTCAGCTCCGATCGATTGGGCCATGTTGAAGGGGCCCTGGGGCACACCAATCAATACACACAAATCACCGGATTCCCCATATTTTCCCCTATTTTCTGATTTTGTCTTCCCCCCCACTTCCCATATTTTCCCATATCTTCTGGGGAATCGACGATGCATTGTGTCTGTGCTTTTTTCCCTCCTGATGGACTCGCACCCGGGGCGGCCCCCTCGCGGTGCCCCCCGCCGGGGTCCAGCTCCGATCGATTGGGCCATATGGGCTGTGCGGTCGGTCGGTCCGCGATCGAGGGCAACCTGCGGTCGGAGGTGGGACCCCCCAGTCTCCCGGAGATCGCATGCGCAGCTTCCGGGGCCTCCGCGTCCCTCGTGGGCAGGTCAGGCGCTCTTCGTCCACCCAGGAGGGCGAAAAAGGGAGGAGGGCAGGAGGAGGGGAGGGAGAAGGGAGGAAGGGAGGGACTGGAGGAGGGCAGGGAAGGGAGAGGCGAGAGGGATGCAGGAGGAGGAGGAGGAGGGAGGAAAAGACCCAAACGTCAGAGCGCGCCCAAGCAGGGAGGAGAGACAGGAGGAGGGGAGGATGGAGGAGGGAGAAGCGAGGAGGTAGGCAGGAGGAGGGTTGTGTGGTGCACGGGCGCCAAGCAACGGCTGCTGGGAGACGGTGCTGTACACTGAGGGGCGGCGACGACGACGTCAGCAGAGCAACAAAAGCTCAGCAAACCTTGACCTGCAAGGGGCTCGATGTATAAACCACGTCGTCTGGTCGGCCAGAGAGCTCGGTGTATGGCCGCCACCGCTGCAGGACCTGCGGGACGCCGGAGCGTCTGTGAACCAGCCTCCTTCGCCGAGATCTTCGGCTCAGGGGTCCACAAGACGACGTGGTGTACACACCGATCCCCTCCGATGACTTCCGGGGGTCCGCGTGGCTGTCTCGCATCGGCGCTGGACAGCGAGGGCTCCCAAGGCTCGGGAGCGGCCAAGAGGGGGGTGTCCAAGAGGGGGGGGGTGCAAATCATGACCGGCGGCATGTGCGCGGCCCAGCGGGGGGGCCAGAAGAGGCGCCATAAAATCTGGGGAAATATCATGGCCCCCGCCATGATATCCACCCCCCCCCCTAGTCATTACCCCCCTCTTTTCCGCCCCCGAATGGCGCGGGGGGGGGGTCCAGGCCGCCGAGCCCCGAGGCATCCGCGCCCGCACGGGGCTCCGAGGGCGGCGGCTCAGGCCCTGTGCCTCTGCTGCGGGGGAGCGTAAGACTCGAGCTCGGGGGCCCTGCAGTCGGAGTTCATACACCACGCGAAATGATTAAGAAATCATGAGTTAAGAAATTCATGGTATCAGAACTTGAATAAAAACCCAAAATCTCTATCAAAATCTTAGGATTTGAATCGAGACTCTGGCCGAAAACTTAAGTTTTCTTAAGCATCGCCTAAGGTGTAGGAGAGGACACGCGAGAGGACACGAGACCCTTCCGAGGGCCACGCTACCATAGGAAGGCAGAAGGCATGGGTCGCGAGGCACAGGACACAAGCGGGTACCCTTGATCTGGCAGGGTCGACCTACGAATCAGCGCCGGCTGTACCGCGAGTTGGCCTGACGGGGCCATCAGAAAAACGACGACACCCCGTCTGGACGTTCGACGCGACCTGCTGGTGCAAACTCTTCCCGAAAAAATGGAGCGTCCGAAAACACGCTAGGGCCGTCAGAAAGCGGCGGCACACCCGAAATCCGGCCAACTCGAGCTAACGCTTATCATTCGCGACATCGCCCGTGACCAGCCCCGCCCCCCCCCTCCTCCCCCTACCCCCCCCCCCGCTCCTCGCTCCCCGCTCCTCGCTCTACCTTCCCCTCCTCCTCCTCCTCCACCCTCCTCCCCACCTCCTCCACCTCCTCCACCTCCTCCACCTCTCTCCTCGCCTCCTCACCTCGCTTCCTCCTCGCTCTCTCCTCCTCTCCTCCCCCTCCCCTTGCCTCCTCCTCCTCCTCCTCCTCCCCTTCCTCCTCCCTTCCTCCTCCTCCTCCTCCTCCTCCTCCCTCCTCCTCCTCCTCCTGCCTCTCCTCCTTCCTTCATCCTCCTCTCCCTCCTCCTCCTCCACACCTCCAATCCTCCATCTCAGCACCTCCTCCCACTCCATCCTCCTTCCACCTTTCCTCCTCCACTCCTCCCTCCTTGCCTCACTCCTCCTCACTCCTCCCTCCTCCTTCCTCCTCCTCACTCCTCCCTCCTCTCTCCCTCCTACCCCTTCACCTCTCTCCTCCTCTCCTCCCCTTCCTCCTCCTCCTACCTCCTCCTCCTCCTCCTCCTCCCTCACTCCTCCTCCTCCTACCTCCTCTCCTCCTCCTCCTCCTCCTCCTCCTCCCCCTCAACCTGGTCAAGTCAACTTTTCAGCGCCCGGCGCAGTCCTGGACGACCCGATTCGTGAACAAAAAACCTGGCAAGCATGCATCCGCATAAAAAAAAAAATATAAAAAAGAGCATTCCCAGACGGCGCCCGGCATCGCCAGGGTATTACAACAAACGGGTCCCTCGGTTCTCGCGCTTCCCCCCGCCTTCCACGAGGAAGAGGAACTCGCCGAGGAACGAGGAGGACAAGAACCAGGAGCAGCAGGAAGAGCAGGACGAGGAGAAGGAGCACGCAAAGGAGGAGGAGGAGGAGAAGGAAGGAGTAGCAAGTGGGGGGAGAGGAGGTGGTGGTGGTGGTGGGGGAGTAGAAGGAGGAGGAGGAGGTGGAGGAGAAGGAGGAGGAGGACGAGGAGGAGGAGGAGGAGGAGGAGGGGGAGGTGGAGGAGGAGGTGGAGGTGGAGGAGAAGGAGGAGGACGACGACGAGGACTCTCGAACATTGCTCTGCAGAGGACGGCCCGCCGCTGGGAGCCGACGCCGCCGAGGGGACGTCCACCGTCAGGGTGTCGCCTGAGGCCGCCGCCGCCGCCGAGGTCGTCGCGACCGCCGCCGACGCCGCCGCCGCCATACCCGCCGTCGTCGTCGTCGTCGTCGTCGTCGCCGCCGTCATTCGTGGTCGTCGGCATTGCCCTCGTCGTCGTCGCCGTCATCGTTCGTGGTCGTTGGCGTTGTCGTCGTCGTCGTCGTGGTCGTTGTTCGTGGTCGACGGCGACGATCGAGAAACAAATAACAGAAACTCGGAGGTCCGCGCGGACCTCCGAACATGCACTTCCATAGCATCCGTCGCCGACGACATCGCTATTTTGGGCAAGCGCGTTCCACTACTCGCAAACGAACTACTCGCAAATTGCCTGTATCCGCCGAGAGAGATTCGCGATTCATTACATCGGGGCAGGCGCTTGCTCGTTTTGGGGACCTTTTGCATGTAGACACTTTGCGAGTAGTGGAGCGCGCTGGGTGATACTTTCGCTCGTTGCCGTGGTCGTGGTCGTGGTCGCGGCCCCCGCGCTCGTCGTCTTCTTCTTTTTCTTATTCGTTTTCTTCTTCTTCGTTGGCGCCGTCGCCCGTCGCCGCCGAGGTCGTCGTGACAGCCGCCGCCGTCGCCGTTGGAGGAGATGGAGCTGGAGGTAACCGGCCTCGAGCTCACCCCCAACATTAGGAGGAAAATCCTGGGGGCCTCGCGCGGCAACTTGAGTCCCGATTTACGTCGGATCCACGTCCGATTTACGTCGGGTTCACGTCGGGCTACGTCGGAATTACGTCGGATTTACGTCGGACTGACGCCGGACCATCACCGCGCGAGCGTCGACCCATAGCTTACGGAGCTAACGTGTGGACTGTATACTACAACTATTACGCGCCGCGCGAGGCCTCCTGGATTTTTCTTCTAAAACCTGAGGCGACAACAATCCTAGGTTAGGAAGCAGCCCCCGGGAGTTTCCGTAAGAACAGTCCTGGGCGATTCAGCCAATGAAGGGGCCAATAAGCCAGCAAAGCCTGGATTAAGCCCAGCATTAAGTCAAACTGAGCCAGATTAAGCAGGATAAGACGGAATGGAACTGGATGATGTCGGGTTGTGCCAGTTTTCGACCACGGATATACCAGCGCCGATGCTGGATTAAACCTCCCAGTAGTTGCGTCCGAATGGAGAAGACCAGCCTCGAGCGCACGCAAAAATCCTTACAAGCCTGAGGCGATGACAATATCAGGGGTGTGCCCTCAGGAATTGCGGGGACTCCCTCAGATCGGCACCGAGACAGGGTGATGCCAATCGCAGGGATGGTGATGTGCTTCATGCTGGTACGGAGGAGGAGGAGGAGGGGTGAAGGAAGATCGGCACAGGAAGAGGGACGGGGAGCAGCGGAAGAGAGACGCAGACACGGAACAGCGGAGGGACCAAGGCAGGGGGAGGAGGGAGGGAGGGGGAGGGGGAGGAGGGAGGGAGGGAGGGAGGGAGGGAGGGAGGGGAGGGGGAGGGGGAGGGAGGGAGGGGGAAGCAGGGGCATACTCTTTTGGCACCGTCGAGCAGGGGCGGGCGATTTAGCACTGCCACCTCGCCACGACAGGCCGCGCTGGGGAGCGGGGTGAAACGAGAAGCGTCGGCGCACGTGCAGCATCGGAAGGGGGGAGGGGGAGGAGGAGGAGGAGGACGACGGCGAGCGCAGACCTGGCCAACAGCGATGCAGAGTCTATGTGGGCTGTAGACGGCCGCCTGGCCTCCGAGAGCCGCCGAAGGTCATGGAAACCACATTGTGTGTCCGAACAACAAGGATACAAGCGCCTCCGTGACACACGGAAGTCGGCGGCGCGCTGGGGGGGGAAGCGTCAGGGGGCAGGCCTTCTCAGAAGGCGGCTGGGCTTCTCGGAATCCCTCGTGCCATCCGAGCGACGATCCAAGACGGGTCTCACGCGAGATGGCGCAGCGGCCTGACGCGGCGGCGTCCGCAGGCCAACAGCGCGGCACGCTGCCTGGCAGGCGTGGGCGCCTATATATACGCGACCTTACGCGGGCAGCCGACGCGCCCCTGTCGGCGCAGACGACCCCCTTGCTTTGCGTCGCCCCTCTGTGAAGAGGCTCCGCGAGCCTGCTCGAGAGGCCAGAGGCTCTCTGAGCCTTCCGAGGGAGGAGGGAGGAGGGAGGAGGGAGGAGGGAGGAGGGAGGAGGGAGGAGGGAGACCCCTTTCTGGCCTTCCCCCCCCGCGCGCGCCGCCGTGCGGAGGAACCCCTCGCCGCCTGGCTTCGGGCGAGCCCTCGGGCCTCCGAGGGCTGCTCGGGACGATCCGAGCACCCTGGGAGCGCTGGCGGAGAGGCGCCGCTGCCGAAGAGCATCCCAGGGCTGGCACACCGCCGAGAACCTCGAGAAGCGAACACATGAAGAAACCAGCTCGAACGAAAGAACACCTTATGACGGCCTTCGAGGGCCTCCGGAGCCCGCGGAGGCCCCCCAGAAAACCCGCCGAGGGGAGAGCAGCGGCGGAGGAGTACCGAAACTCGGACACCCGGCATGGGTGCGGCAAGAATGGGCACGAGGCCCAACATGAGATGCTGTCCAGAACCGACAGCGGCCGCTGCAGGACAGGCGGCCTCCCGTCTCATATCCACAGCGCCAGCGGCCCACGCCGACGGCGAACCCTGCTCAGAATGGACTGCAACTGCTGTCGGTCTTCGCACCCGCTCTTCCTAGGAAGGACAGGCGTGTTCCACTACTCGCAAAGTAGCTACTCGCAAATGGCCTGGATGCGCCAAGGGATTTGCGATTCATTACATCGAAGCACACACACACACACCTGTTTTTCTAGACGTTTGCGAGTAGGCACTTTGCGAGTAGTGGAACGCGCTCGGTGACGGGAACAAGGAAAGGCGACGCCAACACCACCATGGCGAGGAGATGCGAGGACCAAGGGGGGGTCTCCCTGGTGGTGTGGGCCCCCCCTCTCGCTCGAGACATCCCCGGCCTCCAGCTCGGGGAGGCATCGTGGACCTCCTCGCTGGAGGTGGCCCCCCTGGTGGTGTTGGTGTCGCATCTCTTCCCTCCGACTTTCCGCACCCACTTCGATCGTACCGGCGAGAGGCGCAGAGGGCGAGACCGCAGGAGGACCGCCCGCTCTTCGGCGAGGCTGGCGCAGGGAGGCCCGCGCAGCGGCGGGGCCGCGCTCGGCCCCGCCGCCTCGGAGAGGCGGGGCGCTGAAAGGCGGCCTGCGCCTCAGGTGACCTGGGCGCCGTTCTTCCAGGTGCCGCTGACCTCCCGGCCGTCGCTGTCGACCATGACGCCGCTGCCCTCCTGCCTCGGGATTTGACGGAGAGCTAACGGGTACGATGCCCAGCAGCAGGTGCTGTCCGGAACCGACGGCGGCCGCTGTCGGGCAGGCGAGGCTGCCTCAAATGGACAAGCGGAACCACGCGCGCGCGCTTCGCGCCCGCTTAGTCTCTAGCCGCGCTCGAGGGTCTATCATCGCAAGTTGCCGTGAGGCACTGCCAGGTTGACTCAGGAGTTCCCTTCAGGTTTGTCGTGGGACCTGCCGCCGTTTGATACGGTAACCCAGAGGCCGTGTAAGGGTGTCCTCGGGGGCTTCCACGACGCGTCGTCTGGGTCTGAAAGAAATCAAAAGGGAACTGGGGTGCCCGAGGCTGGCTCCGCATTACTGGGCGCTCTGGGGCCAGGACCTTCCGAGTATATACACATGTGCATATATGTATGCATACATGATATGCACGTATGCCTGAGTATACATGTATGTATGTTAATATGTGTATGTGCACAAATACATGTGTATATGTGTGCGTGTAGTTATACATACATGCGTTTGCGCACACGTCATTGCAACTATACATGGAAGTTTATACACATATGCATACACAGTTGCCTATAGGTCGATATGAGCACATGTAACTATACTTATAAGAATGCAAACAATATTCATAATACTACGAACAAGAATGAGAATAACACATCAGCAACAATATCAATAACAATAACATCATGTATAGATACAACTATCTACATATATGTACATTTATGTGTCCACAGATATGTTTGCCTTCGGACCATCCCGCCACGGTGCGGGAGCTGTATCAGAGGCCTCTTGGTTGTTCGTCGGTACCTCGTGGGAAGCCTCTCGGGAACCGTGTCGAGGGCGGCTGTGAAGCCTCTTGGGGGCCGTGTTGGGGCTTATTGGGGCCTCTTTCGGGCCTCTTTCGGGCCTCTTGGGGGCCTCTTGGGGGGCCTCTTGGGGGGCCTCTTGGGGGGCCCCTTGGGAACCTCGAGGCGCCTCGTCAGGGCCTCTTTGGGCCAGCCGGGGGCCTCGGGGGGCGAAAGGCTGGAATTGTGAGTTCGTGTTCCCCTCTTGGGACCCTGTTGGGCCGTTCTGGGGCCCCTCTTGGGCCGTTGTGGTCCGTCCTGGGGCCCTCTCGAATCGCTTTCGGGCTCCCGAAGAGGTCTCTGACGCCCTCTTGGGGCTTTCTTTGGCCCCTCTTGGGCCGTGTCTGGGCGGTCTTGGGTGCTTCTCGAGCCGTCTAGAAACCTTGGAAGCCCGAAACGGTAAGAACACGAAAATAATAAACACACAAACTTGAGAAAATCTCAAATTTTGGTCTCTTGGAGCACTTGTCTGGGTCCTCTTGGAGCCTTCTTGGGTCGTCTTGGGTGCCTCTTGGCCTGCTTGGAAAGCTTCTTGGGCCGTGTGACACCCCTGGACGCCGACTTCGGGGTGGCTCGGGGCCCTCTTGGGCCGCCGGATCGGTTGTCTGATCGCTCTGGGGGCCGATTTGCGGCCTCCCAATGGGCCTGGCCTCGAAGCGCCCCGAAAAGGGTCGCCCCCCTCCCCCCCCGGGACTAAATTGAAATTATCCCAGTGCGACCCTACCTAGGAGTTGGAGCCCCTAGGAAAGCAGCATTAGTAGTAACAGTAAAGCTAAGCTAAAGCTAAGCTAAAGCTAAAGCTAAGCTAAAGCTAAGCTAAAGCTAAGCTAAGCTAAGCTAGCTAAGCTAAACTAAGCTAAGCTAAGCTAAAGCTAAGCTAAAGCTAAGCTAACGCTAAGCTAAAGCTAAGCTAAGCTAAGCTAAAGCTAAGCTAAAGCTAAGCTAAAAGCTAAAGCTAAGCTAAAGCTAAGCTAAAGCTAAGCTAAGCTAAGCTAAGCTAAAGCTAAGCTAAAGCTAAGCTAAAGCTAAGCTAAAGCTAAGCTAAAGCTAAGCTAAAGCTAAGCTAAAAGCTAAGCTAAAGCTAAGCTAAAGCTAAGCTAAAGCTAAGGCTAAAGCTAAGCTAAAGCTAAGCTAAGCTAAGCTAAGCTAAAGCTAAGCTAAAGCTAAGCTAAAGCTAAGCTTAAAGCTAAGCTAAAGCTAAGCTAAAGCTAAGCTAAAGCTAAGCTAAAGCTAAGCTAAAGCTAAGCTAAAGCTAAACTAAATCTAAGCTAAAGCTAAGCTGAAGCTAAGCTAAAGCTAAGCTAAAGCTAAGCTAAAGCTAAGCTAAAGCTAAGCTAAAGCTAAGCTAAAGCTAAGCTAAAGCTAAGCTAAAGCTAAGCTAAAGCTAAGCTGAAGCTAAGCTAAAGCTAAGCTAAAGCTAAGCTAAGCTAAGCTAAAGCTAAGCTAAAGCTAAGCTAAAGCTAAGCTAAAGCTAAGCTAAAGCTAAGCTAAGGCTAAGCTAACACTAAGCTAAAGCTAAGCTAAAGCTAAGCTAAAGCTAAGCTAAAGCTAAGCTACATCTAAGCTAACACTAAGCTAACACTAAGCTAAAGCTAAGCTAAAGCTAAGCTAAAGCTAAGCTAACACTAAGCTAAAGCTAAGCTAAAGCTAAAGCTAAAGCTAAGCTAAAGCTAAAGCTAAGGCTGAAGCTCCCAGGGGACTGGGGGAATCGCGGGGCGGGGACTGGGGGAACCGCCCGGGGCGGTTTCCATTGCCCGGCCCTTTAAGCTAAGAGAGTAAGAACCCTTCTAGGCAGAGCCTAGGTAGGAAAAAAGGGCACGGGGGGGGGGGGGAGTTTTGAAAAAGTGGGCCGCCCCCGGGGCTGGGGGCCTGGTTCCCCGTTATATGATATACAGCCGCGGCGAGGTCAACAGCGAATCCTGTTCATAATGAACAAGAACTGGTGTCGGCCTTTGTACACCCTGCGAAATGCTTAAGAAATCATGGGTTAAGAAATTCATAGTCTCAGAAATGGAATAAAACCCAGAACTTCTATCAAAATCTTGGGATTTATATTGAAAAATAAGAATAATCGAGACTCTGGACGAAAACTGAGGTTTTCTTAAGCATCGCCTAAGGTGTACCCATGGTTTCCGTATCCATTCTTGCCCCCACGACAGGAGGGCGCCAACTAGAGAACGTGTTTGAATTCCCTGGTGGTAACGAGCGAGACTGGGGGGGGGAAGAGGCCGGTCAAGTCACGGTTCGCGCCGGCGCCGCCTGGGAATGCTCAGGAGTGGCTCGTTCCCAGACGGCGCCAGCACGAATCGTGATGCGACCAGGGGGGAGGGGGGAGGAGGAGGAGGAAGAGGAGGAGGAGGAAGAGGAGAAGAAGGAGAAGAAGGAGGACGAGGAGGAAGAGGAGGAGGAAGAGGAGGAGGAAGAAGAAGGGGGGGGGCGGGGTCGGTCCAGGGCGTTCTCGCGACCAATAAAACCTACTCGACGCTCCCCTCCTTGCGAAGAACGAGACGCGGTACAGTCGACCCGCATTATAAGGACGCACGATGAGGATGCAAGGGCCTTGGGAGGCCGTTTCGAAGCTTTTCGAGCGGGGCGCGGCCAACAGAAGGGCCAAAGATCCGCGCGGACTTCTTGGATCGGCGCTGGGCGCTCCTCCGTGGCGCGAGGAGCGCGCCAGGGAAGGCGCCAGAACAGCCGCCAGCGCCATTCCCAGAAATCCGCGCGGACCTCTGAAAGTCATGTTTACACAGCTTTTGGTGCTCGACTCCTGCCTGCCGTTGCACCACTGGCCGCGGTACTTCCTCCCGTCGGGCCACGCGAGCGTGCCCTCGCCCTGGCGCAGGTCCTTCTTGTAACCGCCGCGGTACGAGGAGCCTGCATATGGGCCAACCCGCAGGCTTCTCGGTCGGCGCA